ACTTACCACTGGCTATCGTGCAGGTCACGGGTTCAACTCCAGGGAACTGTGCAGATACTGTACACAGGTAAGCTGAGGTCAAGGGATCGACCCCTGGGATCTGCATCGGCTACTGCCAAAGGTGAAAACTGTTTCACAATGATGAATGCATTTCTGGAGGCACAGCCACTACTGTCACTGCACAGAGATTGAACACACAACCTGATTCTTAGAACTTGTGTTCTTTGCAGGTCTGGAGATTTCAACCACATAACTTTGTGAGGTTGACGTGCGCAGCAATGTTATGAGCTCCATCCATGAAGCATTGAATCACTGTGAGCTTGTGACAAAGCAAACAAGAGCAGAGCGTCACTGACGTCAGTGGCGTCAGCAACTGCTACTACCATTACTACTTCCCTGCTTCGTAGTCGAACTTGAACCGCCATGGCTCCAAAGAAGAAGAAGGTGAGGGTTCGAACCTCACTGTGCTCACAGAATTGAGCTAACGGACTTGTGGTAGCGGAATTGCCCTAACGGACTTGTACTAATGGAATTGCACTAACGGAACAGAAGTGCACTAATGGAACAGAATTGCGCTAACGGAATTGTGGTAAAGGAACAGAATTGCGCTTACGGAGTTGTGGGGGTAATGGAACAGAATTGCGCTAACGGAGTTGTGGTGATGGATTGATTTGAGAAAGACCACTGCATCTATAGTGAATTGAGGAAACATGCAAAATTTTGAGGCAAAGTGAAAGTACACCCGAAATTACACCCGAACTTCCCGAAGTAACTCGCGGTGTACGCAAGAGATCACACAAGAGGCGTGTGCACAACAGCTCGAATCGCTGAAAAAGTGAACGGTTGAAGACTCTGGTGGGTTTTTGGCTCCCCCATTCGGATGAAATGAAACATACAAGCCACACCTTTCTTCTTCTTCTTCGTCTTCTTCTTCTTCTTCTTCTTCTTCGTCTTCTTCTTCTTCTTCTTCTTCTTTTGGGAAAACTAGGGCGCTGTCACGGTTTCAGTTTGAAAAATGTGTTTTAGTCACCGATTTCGTGAATGTGGTGCCAAACCGAGGACAATCGTGAATGTATACAACCCAGCTTTAGGGTCGGGTGGGGATGTATTGTATTTGTGGGATGCCTCAAGCGAATTTAAAACTGAAATTGTGACTGCACCCCAGTTAGTAACTTAGTAGTTACCCCTTTTTTTTTTTTTTTGCACACCTTACAATGGGTGTAGGCCACTTTCTGAGGATGACCATGCCACCCTCCAAAAGTCAGCCCTCTGATGATAATTTGGTCATGAAAAAAAAAAAACAAGAAGGCATACCTTACTGATGTTGTCAGTTATGGGACTGCTTGTCCATTATGCTGTGCCTTTTCCTATGAAAGAAATTTGAATCACCTTCTGAAATTCTTAATGCTGTTTTTTTTTCCACTTTTTTTTTTTTTTTTTTTTTGAACTGGTCCCTCCTCCTTCGACCTCAGTTTTTGAGGAGGCTAATTTGTAGAAGATATATCCGCTGGGAAGAAATATTTGCAGGTTTTTTTATTTTCATGTTTTTTTTTTTTTTAATTTGTATTTTATATATATATCGTCACAAACAGATATTATATATGTATATAAACTCCGACGAAACAGTTTGTCATAGCCCCTCGTTTGTTGTCCTCTTCTCTCTCTCTGCCTACGGTTTACCGGGCAGTTCTGTTTGTGACGATATATATATACATATATATATATATATATAGTCAAACAGAGCTGCCCGGTAAACCGTAGGCAGAGAGGGAGAAGAGGACA